TGTCCGCACCTGGAGTGGGCGCGCCCCTCACGGCTCCCACGTTGCAGGGCTCCTCCGTGTGCCAGGTGACCGCCGTCGGCGTGACCGTCGTCCTGCTGTACGCCTCCCGCGCCTGCTACAACCTGTTCATCTTATCCTTTTCTCAGAGCAAGAACGTGCATTCCTTCGATTACGACTGGTACAACGTGTCCGACCAGGTCAGTGGGCGCGACGGGGCGTCCCCTGCGGCATCCCACGCAGCGGGGTGTGAAGTTCTTTGCTTTTGCTGCTTAAACAGCTGGGTGACCTTGAGAGTCGCCTGTGTGGGAACCGCATTCTCATCTGTAAGATGGGATCGTAGTACCTGTGAAACCAGCACACACACAGACACACACACCCACACCCCTTTCTCCTTACAGTTCACGTGCTTTCGTAGAAATGGAAATGGTCTTACTGCAGGGTGAAATTTGCACAGGTAAAACCAGTTATATTTAGTTTTTGAAAATACATGAAATTACAAAGTTAGACTATATTTTAGTGATTTTTTTTTGCAGAGAGGAAGGGAGAGGGATATAGAGTTAGAAACATCGATGAGAGAGAAACATCCATCAGCTGCCTCCTGCACACTCCCCACTGGGGATGTGCCCGCAACCAAGGTACATGCCCTTGACCGGAATCGAACCTGGGACCTTTGAGTCTACAGGCTGACGCTCTATCCACTGAGCCAAACAGGTTAGGGCACATTCTGCAGCTTTTAGGGTCTATTTATAGAGACTGTGTTGCAGCATGTAGAATCTAGGAGCAAAACATGTGGCCACGTGTGCCCATGTCATTCGTGTGGACGGAGAAAGAACACGGAGCCGTTGAGACATGTTACAGATGGAATGCGAGATGCACAGTTTCTGAAGAGCGAGCAGGCAGTTAGGTTTGGCTGCCGCGCTTCGATGCGACGGGAGAGAGAAGGAAAAGGATGGGCCCTTTGCGGCTGGCTTGGGTGCATTGTCTGTCTTTCCTATTTCCTCTGCCCTCGGCCCCTGGCTGCACCTCCTCCCTCCCTCCACAGGCGGATCTGAAGAACCAGCTGGGAGACGAGGGGTACGTGGTGTTCGGGGTGGTCCTCTTCGTGTGGGAGCTCTTGCCCACCTCCCTGGTCGTTTACTTCTTCCGCGTCCGAAACCCTACCAAGGACCTGGTGAGTAGAGCAGCGGTTCTCAACCTGTGGGTCCCGAGCCCTTTGGCGGTCGAACGACCCTTGCACAGGGGTCGCCTCAGACCATCCTGCAGATCAGATATTTACATGACGATTCATCACAGTAGCAACATGACAGTGATGAAGTAGCAACGAGAATAATTTGATGGTTGGGTCACCACATGAGGAACTGTATTTAAAGGGCCAGGAGGTTGAGAACCGCTGGAGTAGAGGAAACCGCTTGGTATTTGCAGGTGGACCGTGAGCCTTTTTTCTCAGCTTGTCCATCAAAAGCCGCCTTCAGCCCGTTGTGATGTGGAACGTCGCCGTGTTTCACGGAGCCTTTTGGACCCTTGATTCCTAAGCCCCCTGAAGGGAAGACTCCCATGCGCGTTTACTGAGGCCAGTGTTGCCCTTATTCCGAAACCAGACAAAGAAACGCCAGAAAGAGACCATCCCCTAACAACTGTGTTTCACACTCTGTTGGTTGACTTTTATGTTTTAGTTTTTTAAAAATATGTTTTTTACTGATTTTACAAAGGAAGGGAGAGAGAGAGAGAGAGAGAGA